AATTCCAATATTAGTCGAGATATAAGCGACTTCCGGTTTGAAATATCAATGTCATTTTGACAAATTCTTAATTTTTATAAAATGTCTTAAAATTTGTCACTAAAATAAAAATACAATAAAAAAAATTAAAAATTAAGGTTGGTATTAACATTTAATAATTAAATTGCTATCTTCATTGCTGCTAACTTCGGGTTTAACGTTTTTTATTCTAACTTTGTTGTTTTTTGAGATAAATGCGTCGTGTTTGGACTAATTTTAAAGGTTTTTTTAATAAAGAATACATAATGAAAGAACACCATGAAGTTGTCCATTTGTCTATTATATGATAACTAACTTCAGATTTAAAATGTCAACCTCAATTTTGACATATTTGTAATCTTCATTAAAAATCCTTTAAAATGAGTACAAACACGACATATTTATCTTCAATATTAATGAAGTTATGGTCAACTTCCGGTTAGAAATGTCAACGTTAATGTTGACATATTTGTAATTGTCGTGAAAAATCCTTTAAAATGAGCCCAAACATGATCCGTTTAATTCCAATATTAATCGAGATATAAACAACTTCCGGTTTCAAATGTCATTTTGACAAATTCTTAATTTTTAGAAAATGTCTTAAAATTTATCACTAAAACAAAAATACAATAAAAAAAATTAAAAATTAAGGTTGGTATTAATATTTAATAATTAAATTGCTATCTTCATTGTTGCTAATTTCGGGTTTAACATTTTTTTATTCTAACTTTTTTGTTTTTTGAGATAAATGCGTCGTGTTTGGACTCATTTTAAAGGTTTTTTTAATTAAGAATACATCATAAAAGAACACCATGAAGTTGTCCTTTTGTCTATTACATGATAACTAACTTCAGATTTAAAATGTCAACCTCAATTTTGACATGTGTGTAATCTTCATTAAAAATCCTTTAAAATGAGTACAAACACGACATATTTATCCTCAATATTAATGAAGTTATGGTCAACTTCCGGTTAGAAATGTCAACGTCAATGTTGACATATTTGTAATTGTCGTGAAAAATCCTTTAAAATNGACATATTTGTAATCTTCATTAAAAATCCTTTAAAATGAGTACAAACACGACATATTTATCCTCAATATTAATGAAGTTATGGTCAACTTCCGGTTAGAAATGTCAACATTAATGTTGACATATTTGTAATTGTCGTGAAAAATCCTTTAAAATGAGCCCAAACATTATCCGTTTAATTCCAATATTAGTCGAGATATAAGCAACTTCCGGTTTGAAATGTCATTGTCATTTTGACAAATTCTTAATTTTTATAAAATGTCTTAAAATTCATCACTAAAACAAAAATACAAAAAAAAAATTAAAAATTAAGGTTGGTATTAATATTTAATAATTAAATTGCTATCTTCATTGTTGCTATTTTCGGGTTTAACATTTTTTTATTCTAAGTTTTTTGTTTTTTGAGATAAATGCGTCGTGTTTGGACTCATTTTAAAGGATTTTTAATAAAGGTGACAAATATGTCAAAATTGACGTTGACGTTTTAAACCGGAAGTGATTGTATTTGTATTAATATTAAAGTTAAATATGTCAAGTTTGGACTCACTTTAAAGGTTATTTTATGAAGATTACGAATATAATAATAAAATTAAGGTTGACATTGACAACTGAAAGCTTTTTCTGTGTTTTTGTCTAAGACGCCAGGTTAAACCTAAAACTTTCTAGTTCTAGTGTTAGTTCTAGGTTTAATTGTTATTTAACCCTAAATTCTTGTAGATTTTAATTGATTTAAAAATTTTTTTTTGATTTAATCCACTTACCTTGCTTATAATTTCATCCATTTACCCATTTTGAGTTAAAAACAAACCTTTAAATCCAATTAATTATGAGTTTTTAATAAAAAAAACTTCAATTCAACGTCAATTTTGACAAGCAACTGTAATATTTGGATCTTAATCACCATGGTAACCGAGTCAAGTTGGATAACCTAAAAATAATAAAATTTTAACCGTTAATATTTCGCTTTATATTTTAATAGTTTTTTATTTTATATCTTTTTTTATATTTTTGTATATTACTTCTTAAGTGAAATACACTGAATAAATAATAACATAGAAATGAGTTCTTCCAATGACGTCACAGCAAGGCTTTTGCGGGGGGATACGTTCATATATTATACATAGAATATTATGGAATTGGATAACCTTATACAGTATGTTTATTTATTGTTACTTGCTAGGACCTACGAAAAGGATACCATTTTCATCACTCATTATTGAGTTAGAACAGCATTTTATTTATTTAACTAGTACCAGGTATTACGTATTTAACGTATTGGTAGCAAAGATAAAACCAGTACTGCTATTGATATTAATGATCAGATTTCTGATATTTTGTAATTTTTGCTACCATAAGCTTATTTTTACATCTCCTCTTTGAATAAACCTCTTCATATTAAATAACAAAGCCATTTTCCTTCATTTTCTAAGGATAATAATCTTAAAACTAGCTAAGTTAGCTCCAAATTGCTTAAATTGTGAATTATATGAATTAAAAT